GTGGTTTGCCCTCGTGTTTAACGTTGCCTTTCGAACAGGTTCGCTCAGCACCGTGCGAGGCCTTAGGGCTGCGGGGAAACCACGGACGGCAGCACAGAAGAGCGTGGTGGGGCCGGGCAAAGCCGAGCGAAGGAGCGCAGCGGTGGCAGTGACAGTGACCCGAGTGCGGGCGGGGGCTCCTGTCCCCCAGAGCGGTGCCTGTCTCCTCAGGAGGGTGAAAAACACGGGCCCTGCTCACAGAGTGTGAGGGCAGAGGAGGAGGAGGAGGAGGGAGCCCGGCAGGCCCCTGCCCATGGCAGCGCTGGCCGGGGCAGTGGTGCTGCCGGGGCAGGGGCAGGGACAGGCCGTGGTGCACAGCGTGTCCCAGGGCATGGCTCTCACCCTGCGGGAAGGGATCTGCGTGTTCTATGACCTAGAGCTGGCACAGATTCATGTTCTGCAAGAGGAAGGGCAAGAAAAGAGTTCAGAAAGCAAGGCAACTGAGAAACCACTAGACACGCTCCGGATGGAGGTACAAGTGAAGATATGTTACCTGTTAGCTCCTACTGTCACACCGATCCGGTTCTAAGTATCCAGTCCTTTGTGCAGCTTTTTATAATCTCATCCCATTTTTTAAAAGACAAGCTAAACCTTTAGACTAGATAACTAACTTGTTGAAATTCAGACAAGTTTTTAATTCAGTGCACCAGTTTGGTACTATTTGGTTTGACAGCCTCGATCTCTTAAGTACCATTACACAGTTTCCCTTCTCTATAATTCAGTTAGTTCAATACTGCAGTGTCGTTAAAGCTGGGTGTGTAATATGGTTTCATTTGAAATTAATTTTATTAAAAGGACATGCAAACACTGCTATTTATTCTGTTCCAACTGTTGGTTTTATAATAAAATATTATTTTTATTCTTTTAAAATTCATGCAGCTCTAGATAAGTTCTGAGGTAGGTCATATTTAATTTAGCTAATGCAAGACATACCACAACCCTGTAATTGCTTTATGACAAAGAAAGCATTACAATTAGGCTGCAGAAGTCCTATATTTGATAAAAAACTGAGAGCATACTTCTTGTTTTCTTTTAAAAGGTAAAGGTACTAAAGTGAAATTTAAAATCTTTTTGAAAAATTAAGATACAGGGGGTTGTGTTCTCAGTAGTGTAATCTTTACATGACACTCTGAAATTTTACATAAAATTTTGAAGAGGTAGGGCTCAATTTTAGTAACTTTTCACTTCCCAGTTAAGCTTTTGTATGCTAAATGCAAATTTTTTGTTGCAGTTTTGTCCATCACATTTAAGCCTGAAAATCAAGATGAATTAGTAGCTTGTCTTTTGTTGACTGCTCAGTTGATTTGCCACTAGTGACTGCCGTTGATTGAGAAAGTTGTAAAACATTTTCTTTTTTAAACTAGATTGACAGAGATAATGATGCCATTGCGTTTGAAAATAACATCCAGCAGCTGAGCCCATCTGAAGAGGGGGAAGGAAAGAAACTTTTTTCCACAGTTGGGGAAAAAAAGAGCCAAAGCTGCAAAGCCAGTGAAAATTTGTCAGAGTTGTGTAATGAAAGTAAAGAGCAGGAATATGCAACTGCATCAGAACAAACAGTTGTAAAAAATTCCAAGAATCTAAAATTTCAGGCTTGTGCACCACGTCAGAAAAAAGGTAAAACGTTAACAGTGTTTGTAGTTCATTTTTAGATAATGTATGTTGGGTGAGATTTTGAAGTGAGGCTGAAATTTTATATTAAATACAGTGGTAATTGTTGAGTTTAGGTTAGGTTAAGTCTTAACATTCTGTGGAAGTTTGGAAGAAGAAAAAAAACCTTTCAGCCTTAAGCGTTAGAAGATCTTGTTCAGGCTGATGTCAGGAGAGACATTTTGGATGGCATTTAGAAATTAATGGTCTTTTGAACAGTATGTGGTATGTGAAACCTCCAGGGAGATTTCAAAGTTAATATTGTATAAATGCCTTTGAATAAACCTAGTAATTTATTTAGTCTCTTAATTCATTCATTCAGCTTGAAAATGGGCTTTTTTTGAGGGTTTATGGATGAGCTTAGAATTGTTCCACGTTGCTGGCAGAGGGTGGTCGGCAAGTATCAAACAATACCTGTCAGCAAAGCCTTTCCCAGAACCTAAATAAAAGTGACAGAAAATGGCTGATTTAAAGTTTTAGAAATGTGAAAGTACGTTGCAGAAGTTAAGGACTGACTTGGAAGGGAAAAGATAAGCATCTGTTTCCCTAGAAACTGTGTGTGTGTGCTGGAAAAGTTGGATGACATCAGTGATGTTGAGTCTGTAAACGTGTGTGTTGTAGCATCTGGATGCTAAGGTATCTTGGCTGAGGTTGTTTATGGAACTTGTACAAATTGTTAATGTCCCATGTTTTAGTTACAGCCCTTATAGGAAGCACATTTGAGCAGCTTTAACAAAGCTAACAATGTTCTTTTGTGTGGGCATGAATCCACAATGAATAAATGACAATAAAGTGGTTTTGTTTGCTGTTACTGAAGTGTCATCTGCACATCTCTGTGTGGTATAAAGCATTGTATAAAATGCATTTTGGTCTCAGCATGAAAAACATTACAGAGAGTGCACTTGGGAGCTGAGACAACTGTTCTGGAAAGACTCCTCAAATATGACGTATTTGCCATTTCACAGTTTCAAATCTTCTTCATAACTGAAAGTGTTGTGCATTTAATCTTGTTACTCTCAAAAGAAATTAATTTCTGTTGTGCCATGAACTTTATTCTATGACTTCTTCAAGCAATTGATTCTTTTTTTTTTTTCCTCAAATTCAACTAGTAATTCTAAAGAGGCTTTTACATCATGATTTTTTTATATACACTTTACAGATTCAGGACTACCAGAAAGCTGAGAATAGCTTAAGCTGCCATTTCCAAATCTTTGAATAAGCTTCCTTAGTACTAATTACACAGTTGTCCTCAAGAAGTGTGTTGCACAGGTTGTAAGTGCCTTGATGAACCATGTCTTAATGATGATATTGAGAGAAGAAGTCTCATCCTGTCTTGGAGGTGAGAGCTAGGTTAGGAGTTAGGTTTCCTGAGATTAGATTCTAAACTGTATCACTAACATATAGCACTATTTTTGGGGCAAATCACTCAAGTCTTAACAAAGTCCTTTGATGTAGAAGTATGAAGTATTTTTACCTAAAGTAGAGGGACTCTGTTGAAATTGGTATTTTTTTGAAAATGTAAAGTCATTATTTTGTGGCTTGTACAGTCTAAATATGTCTTTGTTCCAACAGGAGAAAAAGAAGGTTTCAGCTGTTGTTTCTGTTCCTTCACCTCAGCCAGATTGTCAAATCTGAAGCGTCACTTGAAAACCCATTCTGATGAGAAACGTTACTTGTGTCACCTCTGCCCAAAGGCTTTTCGTACAGCAACTCTCCTGCACAACCATGTGAACACACATACAGGTGTCTAATGCTTGAAAATACTTCCTTTTACACACTATCTGCAAAACTGAATTAACAGGCAAATGACTTTGCCTTAGAACTGTGATCATTTTGTACTTGAAAGTTTCTCTGATTTTGTTTGGTGTTCCATGCTGAAAAGACATTGTCTGTTGTTAGTAACTCTCTGTGTACGTGTTTGTTTATTTTATTAAATACCATTCTAAACATTTTTGGTAAGTGAGTATGACTTCAGTTGTGCCTGATTCCCATATGCATAGTAGAATGTTCTGTGATGTTTTCGTTTTGCTGTATAAACATATGAAGCAAAGTGATAAATTGTGTTTATTATAAACTTATATTGTACATATATATTGAAGAAATTCTTTACTATGAGAAGGGTGAGACACTGGAGCACGTTGTTCAGAGAACCTGTGGATGTCCCATCCCTGGCAATGTTCAGAGTCAGGTTAGGTGGGGCATTGGGCAACCTGATCTAGTGGAGGGGATTTGGTACAAGATGGTCTTTAAGGTCCCTTCCATCCCAAACCATTCTATGATTTATTGTGTATAAAAAATCAGAAGATCAGGAAAGGTTCTATTAAAATATTGTGAATATTGGTGTTAAATAAAATTCTAATGGTGTGTTCTTGCAGGGACCAAACCCTATAAGTGCAGTGACTGTGATACAGCATTTGTGACCAGGGGTGAGCTTTCACGACACAGGCGGTACAAACACACCTTAGAGAAACCTTTCAAGTGCACGATATGTGAATACTCCAGTGTAGAAGTAAGTACAATCATTTAGCTTTTTAAAACTAGTTTGAGGACATTTTTATTATGCTGAAACTGCTGCCAGACAATGTGTTTGTGTGAATTTGATCCTCTTCCTTTACACTTCATGGGGGGCAGTACTAGCTGATGTCTAAAATAAAGGTCATATGTTGTGTTTATATACTTGATGATGTTTGGTTTTCTTTTCAGAACTGAAATTTTCTTAATCAAGAAATAAAAAACGAAGAGTCTGCTTAAGGGTTCACTTGTTAAAAACAGGCTTTCAGAAATGCACCTGTGATTGAATCACAGTCACCTCTGATTGAATCACTGTCACAGTTTAGTGGATATTCACTGTCTGAATTTTTTATGTGCTCTGTCCAGATCTGAAGGCGTAAGCAAGCCTTAACTTTATTCCATGCACCTTACCTTATTAAACAGATTTTGGATTGCTTGCATCTTTAAAAACCCTGACAGTTTATTTTAAATTATTCTATTCTTTCTCTTGTTTCAATAAGGAACTATTCAGCACTCATTGCTCTTCCAGAACTCTCATTCCTGTGAGCTTTACCTGAATGAGGAAAGCAGAAGGAGCTCTGTAGTACTGCCATGCAAATTGTTTGATTTTTGTATAGCAAAGGTTGGCAGTCACGTTTAATTTTATTTGAATAGTGTTGTAGATTTGAATGGATCTGTCAGTGAATTCCTTAAATATGTTTATAAATGGAGGAATTGAACATTTGGTAACTCCCATTTGCATACCTACAATATTTATGTAGAACAGATCAGAGCAGTAGAACAAAGTAGAATGAAATAAACTTTGCAGCATTGGGACTTGAAGGTGAATAGACTTTGAAAATACTCAGGAAAATAAATGAAAGACCAAACTCATTAACCAAAGAATTTTATGTTTGGTACATCCAAGTAGTGTGAGAGTAGTAGGTATCCTCTTTATAAAATGCTA